ACCAGTTTATTGATTAAATAGTAACCACAGGATGAGATCCTGACCTATTTCATGCCATCAAGTAGGCGGCACGTTGGCAGCAATACGGGACCAGCCATTATTTTATTATGATATTAAGTGGCACTGGTGATGCCAGCAGAAATACAACGAGCTTGCCCAGAAGCCTTCACCCATTTACTGTGACTGTCAGAGGACTGAAAGAGCAATTGAAATTATTTACAGACATCGTTTTGGTTCCTCCCAGATCTCACACAACATAATCTCGTTCATCTCGGATAATCACATCAAGCCATTAGCTTGTTAATCATTCTCCTTGTGCTGAGCACCGCGACTTGGCAAGCAGGCTGTGCTTTTTAGGTGGCCAAAGCCTGGCCAGCCCACTGCCCACAGTGCTGGTCCTCACAGACAGATGGGGGTGGGCTGCCCCAGGCACACAGGGCCAGCTTGCTCCCAAATCCTGCTCCGCTTTACAGCAGGGAGAGCCGTGCTGCTCCTTGCATGGTGAAAGAAAGATGAAAAAAAAGTAGGCATCACTGTAAGTGACCTGATGCTTCTGAAAACTCACCATGGCAGGAACATGGGCTATCTCAGATATATTCTAATTAAACAAGCTCAAAATTACACCAGGTGCTCTACACAAATAACCAGCTACATGCATCAATTTTCACACCAGTCCAACTGCACCTGTGGCCTGCAGAGGATGAAAAATCTTGCTTTAAACAAGCTTGTTGAAATTCAGTAATTTTGCCAATTTGCTAAAATTGAGCTCAGCTATGCAAAGCAGCAGAAGTCCCACAAAATCAGATGTACCTGACAGAGTAGGAGGTGTAGAGAAGCTAGATTTTCAAGTGCTTGGAATGCCTCCCTGTTCTGAGCCTGCAAAACTCAGCTGGACACTTCCCAGAAACAGGCTTGCAGAAGACTTCCACAGAAGCAGCTTTTAAGGAGTGCCTATATAAGATTTCTCCAAAGGAAACCGGGATTAAAGCTGCACTCAGCAATCCAAGTAGCAAATTGGAAGGGAAAAAAGGCTGATTCCAAATTCTCTAGAACCACAGCACCAAGCCCCAGCCAGGCAGTACTGGCTGCACTGGAGACATGCCAGGGGCACAGAGAGGAAAGTATTTGCATGCATTTACATCATGACAACACAAAAAATATATAGTTATCATTGTCATTTAGGGCCCCACGTGTTCATCAGGAAGACAAGGGAAGCAAAAAGACATCTTGCAGGCATTTTCAACTGAAATCTTCAACAGCTCATAACCCTTATGGTTGGGAAGATACATCACTTGGGCTCTTGCTCTCCAGTACCATAACACCCTCTCTGGTATCTGATGGACCCAGGAGCTCACTCCTGAATTTCTCCAGCTTTGCTCAGGACTGGCCCAGAACAGAAGATCACTGTGTCCTCTTGGCTGCTGCTTCCCAGAGAGCCTGGGCAAGGAAGATGTGCTGGGCTCACATCAACAGGACAGGCTGTCTGCAGCTGTAGCGACACCTTAATTACTCTTTGGGACTTTCTGACATTCAGGTGCCCGCAGGTCTGGACTCACAGATCGGTTCCTCACACCTTGGATCCAGAGGAGCCAAGGAGCGTTCTGAAAGCCAACCTACCCCAGCAGCAACATGGACTGGGTCACCCTGTTTTGAGATGAGGAGGAGAAGGGGGCCAGTTGTACTAACAGAAGCCGAGCAGCTTGCCTGGAAAACAAGCCCTGGCCTGTTGTATTTATTGGTACTGACGTGGCCATCAGTGCTCTGCAGGAAAGACGTAGGCTTTGGAGGAAAGCTGCAGCAAATGCTCACAAAATTGCTGTCCAAGTGCATCCTTGGCATGGCTAACATCCCATTCCACTGAGTCCTTTCAGGGCCAGGGATTTGCACCAAGGTGCAGGGCTGTATCCTCAGAAAGCCCAGTTGATGCAGGAAGGAAAAGCAGGAAGGCAGAGAAAGCCAGCTGAGCACCTCCCCTTCCCTCCTCTCCCTGAGCTGCAAGAATCCTGGGAATTCTCCACAACCTCCTGCTTCTGGACAGAAACTCTCCCTCCAGCCAACACCATAATGATGGCCACAGCATCACCAGCCCTTCTGCAGTGGGGAGGAAGGGGATGGCATCCCTGCCCTGCAACATCAACCCCCTGTTTAAAGTTCCTCTCAACCTAGATCCATACAATGGACCACATTTGCATTTAATCTGTACCTCTTCCTCAGGTGAAACTGTCCTGCCCACAGCCACTGCTCTGCTCTGCAGAGTGGGAGAGCAGCAGAAGGCGGGAGAGCCCGCCTGGAGCAGGCATCCCAACAATGTCAGCTATGCTGTGTCCTCCTCTGTGCCCCCAAAGGGTCAGGTCTCCATGTAAACAGGAAGCCAGGATCCACCAGGCCCAGAGTGTGGGGGAGTAGAAGGGAGGCAGCGCTACAGGAGGTGCTGCTACTGGTGCCCCCCTCCCTCCCTGCTCCCAGCCCAGCGCAGGCAGTCATGGGAGGCTTTCAGGGCACTCTCCCCTCTGGGATCCCCACTGTTAGCAGCTTCCTCACTTCTTTGCAGGATCATTTTTTTCACCATTTCATAAATAAAGGCAAAGCCAAGAGAGCAGCTATGGTGCCTGCAGCACTGAGAAAGGGGAGTTGCAGCGCCAGCAGGGACAGAGAAGGTCCCCCTCCTTCCCCAGCAGTGACTAACTTGGAACAAGCTGAGACAGAGCACTTTGCCCCTAAACCAGGGACCGCATTAAAAACCACACAAGCCTCAGGGTCAGCAGCTGCTTCCCACCCCATACACAGAACCATTGTTGCTTGCACTCGATGATCTCCCATTGCTTGCTTTCTGCGCTTAAGTAAGATTTTTCTTCCTCTGGTTTCCCCATGCCAATGTTTTGGGATTATTTTATTCCCTAAAGCAGAAGGGTAGCTGTGTTCTTTAAGAAGGACATGCATTCCTTCACCTCCAGCCAAACTGAAATCAGCCCCCAGCACCCAGCCAGGAGTGCCCTTGCAATGCTGTGGTACATCCTGCTGCCGGGCGTGAGGCCACCACAAAGCACAGGAAACCAGGGGAGGGCTTTACACATAAACATCCATGAAACAAACCATCCTGGCATCCTCCTCAGAAACAGCACCCCGCAACAAATAAACAGACATTAAAAATCTCTCTGGCAGATCTGACCTGCAAAGTCATGGCCTTTCAATGACTTGCATCTCTCCTGTCTTACACACTAGACGAAGGAAGCCTGAGCACATGTTTCAAGCACATCATTCACCATGAAAAAACATTATTTTACCCTATTTCGTGTCCCTTCTCTGCCATTCAAAGTTTAATCTATGAATTTTCTAAACTGTGCTTAAGTTTATTTATATCAGTCAACAAGGCTATTTTGGTGTTCTTTCTTTTTTTTCTCCTAGGGTTTACTTAAACCCTCAAAGTTGTGTTAATCCTCCCATATTGGAGTTCTGTGATTTTGGGGCTGGAGCTGCATTCTTTCAAAAGCCTTATCTTGAAAGGCAGAGGAGGAAACCGCTGTTTATGAGAACTCTTGACGGCATAACAGTTGTTCTGTCCCAAACCTCATCTGGAAACATGGTGAGCAAACCTAATGCCATAAAGGACTTCCCAGCTTGTGCACCCGTCACAACATTAAACACCATGGAGAGGACAGGGCAGTGGGTGGGAAAGCTGTTGAGGAGTAAAGCCCACAATCTATTTACACCCTGAAAGCTTGAAAAAGAAGAGCCTGGCAATCTGTGTCCTTGGGATGTGATACTCCTTGACTTTAGATATAATATCCATCTCCTCCTGGTGATAAGGAAGTTCAGATTATAGCAAGAGTCTACAGGAGGGGCTGAGAGGAGCAGAACTCCGATAGGGCTGCTCAGTGACAGGAGCAGATTCAGTGCTTATGGGATCTCATGAGGCCACCAGAAAGACAGTTCATCCATTACCCAACATCCTTGAGAGTGCCCTCAGGTCCTTCCAGTTAAGAGTGTTATTCCCAGGAGGGAGCCATCCCTGGAAGACAGGGCAGACCCTTTGCTGTGGCATACGGACAGGCCAAATTACCTGTGCCTGTGGCCATGTGGCCACAGGTACCATGCCAAGGTCCACCCTACCCCAAAGGTCTGTCTCATGTTTTAAAGAGCAGTTAAGCTCCTGCTGTTTTAAGCATGGGGGTAGCGAGCTCACAGGGTGTGTGGTTTTCTCCCCTCCCAGCTTGCCCTGAACACCTTCCAATTCTGCAGGCAAGAGGCTGGGGAGCAGAAGAAAAGCTCCTCTCCTGGCTATTGGCCAAGCATTATACAGCAAGAGTGTCCTATATCCTGACTGTAAGTATTTTGGGAAGCCAGATGACTTCATTACCAGATGACATCCCCTGACCTACTCGCTGTTAAACAAGCCTGCTGCTGGCCAGCCCCAGAGCTCGTTACTCTGCACTTTAATTTGCACATTGCCATTAGGCAGGCACTATCCTTCTGCCATATCCAGGCAGCCTCTAAATTTTCCTGCAGCTGAAACACACAAACAGTAAAACCCTAACATACCTCTTCCATAAATAGTTTGTTGTTACTTTGTTACTGCGACTGAGAAATGAGGAAATCTTCCGAATGGTGGAAATGCTACACAGTTTCCAGCCGGCGCCAACAGCACCACATCCGTCGCCCACCTTCCACCCCATCCCTGCCCCCACAGCACATGTTCCTGCAGCGGACACAGCACTGGGAGAGTGGAGACAGCCCTGCTGTTGACCCCAGCCACAGCACACAGCCTGCCTGGGTACCACAGGGGCCATCCACGCTGCACATGTGACTCTGCGGCACATGGAGCTCACAGGCATCGCGTCTGGGTTACATGGAGGTGTCAGTGGAGAAAGTGGAAAAATACAGAGTTATGAATAACCTGGAGGACAGGACTCATGCAAGGCAAAGCTGCAGGTGCAGATGGAGGAGGGGGTGCCCCAGCTACCCCAACACAGAAGGGGAAGGAGCATCCTCGCCACACTCACCCTGATCCGCCGCATGGCCGTCACGATCTCCACCCGGCTGTTTGGCCGTGGCACATCCAGGCTCCCGATGTACTGGAGGGAAAGAAAGAGGAGATCAGTCGAGTTTCTACAGAACTGGAAACCTCATAGTCCCACCATGGCCTCAACGGCATCCATGAAGGGCACTCAGGGTCACTTCTGGGGAATGGGCAGCATTTTGCCTGCTGCACCTGAATCCTTGTACTCCTCCCATCATGAAGCTGTTCCCTCACCATAACGCTGCAAGTACTCAGCAGCCCTTTCTCTAGCAATAAAATAACTTCATCCATTAGGCCAGCAGGGCTCATTCATCTAGGCCATGATCAAAGCATGTAGGTATAAGCCAACATCCCCTCAGCTGCACTGAGTCATCTGTTATAGACCTGGGTGTTGGAATATCCCTAAAATAGCTGGGCCAACCTGTCCTGTGTCAGGCCCCTCATTATTTAATTACAGCCCTACCAAACCCGTGGCTGTTTTTGCAGCGATGCTGAGCCTCCAGGCCAAGCCTCTAGAATAAAGGAGCTGCTTTGCTATTCAGAGGGGACCAAAGGCAGCGCCACTGCAACCCAGCACGGAGAAACGCCAAACAAAAACCTTTTTAAAAATAAAATGGAAGAGGGCAGATTCAGAAGAAGGATCAGAAAACAGACAAGTGATGAAGAGTCAATGCTGAGTGCTAAAAACATGTAGCTAGAAGAAAAGCATTTTGAGCCTATTAACTGTGCTCCCATGCTTCATCTCGACACAAGGGCTGATGTAACGCTCAGGAGCACAGCACAGGCACCAAAACCGACAGGGCTACGTGTTCCTGTGAATATGGCCATAACCTTCACTGACACCACGAAAGCCCAAGTCATTGGTTTCAAGCAGCAGTGCTGAGATGGGTGCCTAAGTGTCTGAACATGTGCTTGGGGATCACCGCACAGGCAGAGGCTGCTGAGAGGGGTTATTTCTCACCCAGCATTGCTATGGGAGCCCCAGCTCCTCTCCCCTGGGCTGCTGCTGCCACCTCTATGGAGGACAAGGTGCAGGGGCTGCATGACCACATCTGGGCTTTGGGTGCATGCTGTCCCAGAGAGCCCTGTGTTCCTCAGAGCCCTCCTTGCTAATCCCCCACACACCAATCCAACAAGCCTACCAGCTCAGTGAGGCCATCCCCAAATGCACAGCTCCTGCCTGGGGGCAGACACAGGCAGGTGTACAGTGACCAGCACCGGGCAGTCAGTGCTGAGAGGAGATGTGAAGAGAGAGAATATAAAAATAAACACCCAACAGCTGGCATGTCCGTCACATGCTGTGCAGGCTGCTGCGGTGCAGGGCAGCTTTACATAACTGGGAATTACAGCCCACGATGGGCAGTACCGGCACACGTGGCACTAACCCAGGCCCCAGCCCCTCACTGCCCGGCTACAAATGCAAAGGCCTGGGTAAGTTTTCAGTCACATCCCCAACACAGAGTCTTCCACCCCTTCAAAGTGTCAGGTCGTACTGAGAGAGGCATCTCAGACACAATCGATTCCCTTTTCTTATATGAAGTCTGGAAACCATCAATAAAAAGCAGGAGCTGAGGAGAAGGGCTGAGGCAGCTGGAGCCCTGAACACACGGTCACCATTCAGCACCTAAGGAGGAAGCCTCTCCCCATCCTGCCCTGCCAGGCAAATGTCCCCACTGCACAGCACCTCCCCACACCACTCTTCTGCCAGGGATCATCTGGGGAAGGGAAATTCTTAGGCTACATGAGGAGGAGGACAGACTTTTGCAGCCAGAGGATGCCTATCTTCCTCCAGCTATTCCCAACAGCATGAGGTCACTACCACTGGCAGGGTAATCGCTTTCCTTCCCCCGTGTTTCCTTCTGCAGGCAGGTGCAGAACACAGGCACGTCCAAGGACAGGGCAAGCAGTGGCAGCTGGGCAGGAGATGGGCTGCATCCACCACTGGCTCCCACAGCCACGTGAATTCCAGCAATGCCAATCTCCTGGCTGCCGACCACAACCTCATGCCCAAAATAGCATGTGCAGGCCCAGCAGGGCTGGGGCACCCTGTAAGCAAGTGATGGAGCAGAAGCCAGACACCGCCTTAGGACGAGCACACCTCCCTGGATGGGCCTCCTGGGAAACAGCACCAGCAGCAGAGATCTCTCAATGATGTCCTATCTATGCCCCTTCACTCAGCTATTCCCCTCCAGCCCACGTTCACATGTACCCAAAACAAGGGGCACAGGTCACAAACTCTGCAGGATTCAGCTTTGCTCCCAAACGTGGGCTCCAGGGCATCATGCTGTATCCCACATCCTGTGGGTGCTCCCACCAGAGACCTCAGCACATGCAGCCCCAGTGTGGGCTCACTTCACACAATTACTGTGCTCACAGCTCTGAAAACACCCCCTTCTCCCTTCACTCCGGAGGCAGGTATTTTTTGCACATTTCACAAAACTCAACAGATGGACAAAGTCTCCCCAGATTATTTTTGCCTTCAGGGCAGAAATCACACGTGAGAAACGCACTGCAGAAGAGTAACCCCTCACAATGTGGCAAGTATCGTCCAGAAACGTGGACTTGGAAATCGGTCTTTCAGATAAAATGTGGACTTGCGAGTTGGTCTTTTGACTTCCCAGGCAAGGAGGGAGGATGGCCTGGGAAACCATCTGTATTTAGTAGTGTTTTGCAGGTGATAAGCACAACAAGGGCTGCTCCTGCTCTGCTCTACTCCAGCCCTCCTACTCACAGCACCAACTTTAATTACGGAAAGAGGTGTGGGAAAAAGCAGGTGAGGCAAAGGCGAGAATTAGCAAAGCAGTCAGAGCCTCCACAGTGCAATACATCCCCCTCATCCCACCCCAACACTGAGACTGAGCTCCCCCACTCCCAGGGCAGGAGCTCCAGAGACCCCCCAAGCATGGGGACTCCCAGGCACAGAGTTTTGCCTTCCTTTAACATATGTGTGCCCCAAGAGAGGTGCCAGGCACACGGCGGTGGTCCTGGTCCCTGCAGGGGCCATTGTCCTGGCTCCCAGGACTCAGTCCAGCATCTGTGCCAGCACGCTGACCCCATGGGAAAGGGAGGCAGTGGGGCCAGGGCTGAGCCCAGGAAGGAGAAAGGAAGGTGCCTGAGACAAAAGGAAAGAAAATAAAGCTGTGTGAAAGGACTGCCAAAGAAAATAGACCTATGAAAGAATCCATCCACCCCAAAGCCCCACAAACTCAGGGGGAAAACATATGTACATATGTAGGATGCGGCTTTTCCAAATAATTGCCTACCAATCCACGGCCCCATGACCCCACCAAAGGATGGGGGGACAAAGGTAGGGCCCCCCACCTGCACCCAAGAGCCAAGGGGGATTAGGATGCTCTGAAGGTGGGGAGGGCAGTCCCAGGCAGCCCCCTCCTCCTCAACCCAATTAGGAGAAGAAAGGCCACCCTCTCGGAGCGCTGGTGAATGGGCAGCTGAGAGGGTCCCTCGTGTAACAGGCGCCCTGGCAGCCCCACAAAGGCAGCCCTTGCACTGCCAATGCCAGAACAAAGCACCTCTTTTGTAGGGTGCTTTTGGTCCCTCACATGCCCCGCTGCTTCTCATCCCCGTGTGTGGCATCCAGCCTTTCATTCATCATTCCAGGGCCCCCAGAACAGGCAGCCCCTCTCCCTGCCACGGCACAGGTAGCCATCACCCATCGGGCTTCTGAGCACCTGAAGGGACTCTACTTGCTCTCCCCCTGCCATGCAAATAGGCTCTTCTCTCTGTCCCAGGCACGGTGGGAAGGGGTCTCTGGACACAGCTGCACCCCCTGCCCGTGGCTTCCAAAAGATCTGCCCATTTCTGGGAAATGCCAGGGGAAAAAAAATCTGTTTTTTAAACAGAAAACAAAGGGGAGCACTTTGCCAAAGCACTGTTTGCACAAGTCACTCAGTTTCTCATTCTTGCTTGAGGCTATTTAATATTGCTCGTTTTCTGCTCTGTCAGAAATGAATTTTCTTGAGAAGATGCTTTTTCTGTGACAGCAGGTGGCAGATATTTTCGGAAAATTGAAGGCCGATCGCATCCCTGACAGGGGACACCTTGGAAGGGGTGTTGATGAGATCGGTGGTGGGCAGAGGTGGGCAGCCAAAGCCTTCCCAGAGAGGAGCTGCTTCCCGAGGGAGGCACGCTCTGCTCCGACAGCCCAATGCAGTGTGCAAAGGTCAGGGCTGAATCATCCCCAGCTTACAGGGGAGCCTGGATCAGTTGGCTGCCAGGTTTCCAGCTTCGAAAGCCACCCTGAACCAGAGACCCTGACACGGATGGGGAGCCACTGCTTCTGCAGAGGAGCTGCAGGCAGGCAGCAGGGCAGCACGGGTAGGGGGGACATGCTGGCACCAGCCCAAGGCTGGGGCATCACACCACAGGTTACACAGCCACCTGCAGAGCCAGGGGATCCTGTACCCGGGTTACGGAGGGGTCACTGGAGTTACCAGCAGCCCCCTGGGAGGCATCAGACATGGGGCGTGAGGGTCCCCAGATTTCTGAAGAGTCCGGGATGATGTGAGGCTGCACCAGATACTGGAACATTGACCCTGTGCCACAAAGTGAGGGACAAAGTGCTGAGGCACCAGTCCTGCACCCCTTGCCCCAAGATCTTAAACCTTGATTTCCTCAGTGCCCGGGGAACACCCAGCCTGTCTGCAGATTGGCTGATAAGGGTTTCTCCCTGGGCTGCTGCCATTAGGAAAAGCAAGGAGAAATCCGATTCCCAGGACTTTTGCTGTCCCACTGTTCCTGCTCTCCAGTTGCCCACGCATGGCCTCAGCCCAGGGAGCCAAGGGTCTGGGCTGGCTCGGCCCCAGCTCTGCCCTGCACCTCAGGAACACCCAGCCTCGCTGGGAGGAAAGGGGGAAGTTTACTCAGACTGTGGTGGTGCAGCCTCAGAGGCCAAAAGGGATGGAAAACTCATGATGCCAGCTGACTTCAATGGAAAAAAGCCCTGCCTTTCCATCCTGAACCCAGCAGACGGGTGCCCTGCTGAACTGGGGGCCTCCAGCCCTGCCCAGTCCTCCCTTAGCAGGGCTCTGCACCCTG